AACTTTTCTACAAATAACTTTGTAGAAACGTACCTTGCCCACGACTGTACGTACCTCATCCAGTAGGTCGTGCACAGTGCAGTCCTCGTTCGGGATGTCGAACGTGATCAGTCTCTGTTCCCCTGTGGGCAACATCACTAACATTTTTGCTGTATTTCCTTGAATCTGATGCTGCACTGTAGCATTCGCTGGATCGCTTATAATTTTTTGGAGGTAAGCGATGTTTTCACTTGCACTGTTCTCATGTTGCAGCCGTGGCGAAGGTGACTGTTGTGCTACATATTCCGTTTCCTGACCGTGTTCCGAGGAATTGACTTCCATGTCAATATTAGCTACGCGTGTGTTGTGCTCAGCTGGTGAACGGGTTGACGCTGCTATAGGTTTCACCGATATTTGTTCGAAGTAATTCGCAGTACTCGTTCGGCCGAAAACTTGTACTTGTACTTGTACAGTGCAGTCCTCGTTCGGGATGCCGAACGTGGTCAGTTTCTGCTCCCCTGTGGGCAACGTCATTAACATTTTTGCCGTGTTTCCTTGGATCTGATGATGCAATATAGCATTCGCTGGATCGCTTACAGTTTTTTGGGGGTAAGCGAGGCCTTCACTTGCACTGTTCTCATGTTGCGCTACTTGCGCTACATGTTCCGTTTCCTGATTGCGTTCCGAGGAATTGACCTCCATGTCAATATTACGCCGTACGGTACGCGTGTGTCGTGTACAGCTGTTGAAGGGGTTAACGCTGCCGTAGGTTTCACCGTTTTCATTCGAACGCGCTTTTCGCGACACTCCGTTCGCGGCGGAAAATCAAGACGGTGTTGCGTCGCCGCGCCACCGCGCTGCTATCGCCGCGCCGCGTCGCTATTGACGCACGAGTGACGAACCGGCTTCGTACGTCATTTCCCGTTTCATTTTCGAAACGCGGCCGACACGGGACAGAGTGAAGCCGAAATGAGGAACGTCGCGACTGATATAACTGGTAAACTGAATTTTGCATGTGCATTTTACTATTGCGCAATATAATATAGCACGCATGCATTGATATTTCGTTCGAACGAGTATTTCGCGATACTCGTTCGGCCGAAAATCAAGCCGTGAAACGTTGTTGGCGTTGTTGCGCCGACGCCGCCCGCCGCCGCCGCGTCGCGTCGCCACGGCGCGGCGCGGCGCCGCCATTGACGCACGAAGTCGACCGCGCGAGAGACGGAGCCGCTTCGTCATTTTAATAACATTTCTTTTCAGAACGCGGCGGACATGAAATGGGACGATTTCGGAACGAGAAGCGTCGTGGCTATAACGTAATTGGTAAGTGAAACTTGTAGTTGCATTTAATTATTGTGCAATATGGATTCGGCACTCGCTGCACGCTAATGTTTCAGTCGAAAATCAGGACGTGTCGCCGCGTCGTCGTCGCCACCGCCGCCGCCGCCGCCGCCGCCGCCGCCGCCGCCGCCGCGTCATCGCGACGCTCGAAGAATTGACGCGCGAAGTTGACCGCGCGAGAGACGAGCCGAGCCGCCTCGTCATGTCAACAAGTGTTTTCACCGCGGCGAACAAGCGGAACGCGGGATGGATTGAATCCGGAGCGAGGGGCGTCGCGACTGATATAATTAGTAAGTAAACCTTGTATTTGCACTTGATTATCGCGCAATATAATAATAACATCAGCACGCATGCATTGATATATTCGTTCGAACGCGTACTTCGCAATACCCGTTTGACCGAAAATCGAGACATGTAGCGTCGATGCGCCGCCCGCCGCAAGACGTGTTGCCGCGGCACGGCGCTTTTGTGTCGTGTGAAATTCATCGCACGCGAAGCGAAGCGCGACGTTTCGCTATTTAATTACATTAACGTTTTAATTGCAGAACGCAGTGGACATGTACACGAAAAGAAATCGGCTCCGAAACGAGAAACGTGGCGACTCATTCCGGGAATTCTAGTTATAATATGCATCTTGTGCAGTTGATTATCCGGATTGTTTGAAAGTAGGAGACCTAGGATGGATAGCATCAGTAGACCAATTTGTGGTAAATATTTCTTACTTGTAAGATTAAGTTATTAATTGTTAATTTGTTATTAATTGATAATTTAATTATATTTGTATGTATTAATTATAGATCAGTGTTATACAATGTTATACGTACTACAACTTCGCTGTTGCGGATCGCGTTCGAGAGGAGGAGGAGGTCTAGGAGAGGCATCGGGCGCCGGTGGAGCAACTTTGCGGTAAGCAACTTAATTATTTCTTCTCGTTTACTCGGATTGTTTTATTTTGATTTAAAAATAAAAATTGAAAAAGGTTGCAACAGTGGCAACAACTAATATTTTGTAAAAACGAGGGAATATGAAATAAGCTTTCTGAGTTCATCATTTTAGAGTTTTTTTTTTATTGTTATAAAATGTGGATTAGTCTGTTGCAAGTCTTTTAATTAGAAAAAAAGAATTAATTTGAAACTCTTTGAAAAAAGTTTATTTTTGTGGAAACGATCACATATTGACATATAATTATTTTAATAGATATTTAATTGAGAGAAAAAGGCGATTCTATGAATGTAAAAATTATCTTTAATTTAGATCTTATATTTGTATGTTACAGAGTCATCGTAGCTACATACATGCCTGATAACTCCTGCACTCTTGCGCATCGATGTCGGTGAGTGATAAAAAATTTTATTAATGCGGTGACGGATTTGTGAAAATTTAATTAAATATCTACTTACGTATCGACATTTTATTTTGCTATTTACTATTTTATTTCATTAATAATTTCAATATTATAAAATAAAAAAGAAATTTATTATTAATAAATAAATTTTTGGATATATCATAATTTAGAATTTTATTAGAAAATTCTTTTTATTAAAACTATAAAATCACTTCTTTGGATTACACTAAGGATCGAAATAATACGGTATATCATTCTGTTGCTCCAATAACGTGGCTAAAGCCCGCTCTATATTTTCTGGCAAGTGATCCAGAAGCATGCGTGGCATCACCGTTAATTTCGTAAATTCCTCCGCTTGTGCCCATCGCATCTCGTATTTTCTTTCCTTTGCGAGTTGTTTCTTGCTAATGTAGAAATTATACATCATTATTATCTAAAATCTAGTAGTCCTATAACTCTTAACATAGTTTTTTTTTGTATTTTTGAGGGAGGGTATTGATTTATATTTATGGAAATCGTAAAAATTAATACTTTGAATGGGAAATGTGCGTAAGGATAACGTACCTCTTTCCCTCCGTTTTCTCGAGCTTGCATCTCGCTATATGAAGTATACGACCAGCATTAAACAGTTTCATACTCGAATATCTTCTTTTTGTTATGTCGCGCTCTATTATCTTATTATCCTGCTGAACAAAGATGAAAAACAAAGTTTAAATTTAATTAATTATCAAATTCAACATTAATCAAACCAACATGATACAAAAATGTTTGTGTGTCTATAACTACTGTCTACTTTCTACAAATTTTGCAAGTGCAGCATTTTTTCTTACCATATCGCTGGATTTGGTCAGTAAAGGCGATTGACCCGGTATTGTGTTAATTATATTATGATTGGCCCACGTTTTAGTCAGATCTCTCTCGGGAACTCCGAACAAAGCGTATCCAAATCCATTCAGGACCACTCTGTACTAAAAACATGAAAACATTTGTCAAAATACAATTCGATAATTCGTCGAACGTCTCAAATTGCTGACAATGGATGGCCTTTTACGATTGATTTCTACACTTAGAGCTAGTGAAAAACTGAAGTAAAAAACCGCAATCCTCTATTAAAGAATTACTGCTAAACGCATCCATTGAGACTCATAAATTCCAAAATACCTTAGGTAGTCGGCAAGCGTGAAGAGTTGTCAATAACGATGTCCTTAAATTCTCTATGCTATCCACACTGAGCCTCATTACGAGATCATCCCCAAGTCCTACAGTCAATACGAATTCCTCCGTGACTCTAGCAGCTTCCCTGCTGAGTAGCCCAGCTTTTTGGACAAATACATTAAAAATTGTAATGTATTATTGTTAGCATAGTACGTGTGTTCGAAATTAATAACAGACAGCGGTGTTTGCCAACGTCTTTTTTAGCTAATAAAATTATTATATTCGCTAAAATAAAATCATATGCACGAGCAATTACCAGGCGTAGCAAACGCGTAGACTCTCAACTCCGGGTAACGAGGACGTATCAGTAAGCCCAGCAGAATGGCTAAACCGGCTCCTAAACTGTGGCCTACGCACACACATTGTCACATTACGGAATGTACAGTTATGCGCCGACGGCGATTTATTATTAGCACAGAGTTCTTACCAGTAATCGTCAGATGATAATTGGGATACGTGGCGAACGCTCTTTCCAGGACTTTATGGTTCTCCAATTGCTTCAAGATTACTTTTACCCCTATTATCATGCCTTTGTGGGCCTGTAAAATTTTACATAGATTTACATACAATTAAATCAATTTATTTTATATATCTCAAAAAGGGAATAGAGCTAACCGTGCTGCCTGGTGGAACACCAGGACATTCAAATGAATCAGACGCGGCCGCGAAATCAGTAATTATATCCCGCAAGGATAATGATCCTCGTATGACCACAACAATACTGGCAGTTTTATGATCTGCCATTACGCAGAATGGTATCTAGAAAAATTTCAAAGAGAATAATAGGTACCTAATGCTGAACGAGCATGGAAAGAGTTATATAATTTAGAAGCAATGTACAAACTTCGCACAAATGATTCTTGAAGGAAGCGAATAGAATATCATCCTCAGACATCTTCGATAGGTATTTCACGCCAGAAAGATAACAGAGGCAACAGTTGTCGTCCAGAATAATGTTACGCTTTCGTCTGAAAAAGACATTAAACATAATGAAATAATAAAGCATTAGAGAGATAATTTTTTAAAAAATATATACCTATGCAATTATTCTATAAAATTATATTATGATATATGATAAAAATAAAGAGTCATGTTGAGTTTATGTTTCTTTACCGGAAACAAGCACAGCATCTCATGCCGCGTATCAAACGAAAACATCCGGTACACGTGTGCTGATATATTACGAAAAGCCAGCCGTAGGAAGCGATCGATAACTGCAGGAAGTGATGGGCGGCTTCCAAGGACATCCAGTCAGGTGCGCCCGAAAAAATTGCGCTGGCGTCTAAAAAATGCAGACAGCAAATATTCAATAAATGTCATCATATATTTGCATACAATACACACATTTTTTCGATTTTTTTCGATACATATATAAATGACGTACCTGAAGTGTATTTTGGACGCGCGATTAAATTTAACTTTCGCAATTCGTGAGTCTCTCGCTTCTGCCGGACTCTCAGTAAAATGCATCCTGCCATCACGTCCGAGGGAACCAAATCCGTACCTCGGAATAAGGCGGATAAAAGACCTACGAAGATATTTGTATTAGCATTTTATCGGATAATGAGAATTATATTATTAAAAAATAAAAACAAGCTACTTTCTCTCTCTTTCTCTCTTACAATTCAATAGTATATCGTAATAGTCATAATAATATAAAGGTTTAAAAATTATTCGAAATATGCATTTAGCTAGACTAAATGGACAAAATTAAGTATTACAACTTTTTATCATTTAATATTAAACGATGCTAATATAAATCTCCTCGCAAATTCAAATTTATTCCTTTAATACTTGCATATCACAGTGATCGCATATATCGCGAAGCGCCCGTTATTTCCGAATGGCGAGAGAGCGATGCGATTTTTCGTCGCGAAAAAAAAATCCCACCAGCGCCAAAACCAGAACAGAGATCAGTGATTTGATTTATCATCGGTCACCCCTCTCGGTGACCGTCCGCGCTCGGTTTCCGATCGGAAGCGACGCCAGCGTTCCAGTTTCGAATGCGGCAGGACCTCTTCGTAGGCCAGCCGTACCTATGTCTCACCAGCGACTTGTTGAAAGGTCTCGTTCGCGCTCTCGTCCTTACGCATCCACCACAGGAACTTGAATCTCCTTAGCCAAATGCGCGAGACCTTGCCGTGCTCCGCGGAATTCTCTAGCTGCTTCTTCTCCAGGGAACCGATCGGGTCGAACACCAGGGCGAGGCCGAAGATGCTGAGGCCGATCAGGATCCAATCGAAAAACACCAGGGCTTCCACGACGGTGATGGAGTACGATTCGTGACCGCACTCCACGTTCTGCCCGAAAATCCATAAAGTACCCAGAATGTTCCATCCGATCTCTGGCAGCAGCATCAATACCCTGAATAAGCCATAAAGAGATCTCTAGACTTTTCACTGACTGTGATATTTACCAGTTCCTTCTAAGATAAAAAGTTACCTACATATAATAGTTGTTACGAAATATGACAATGTAACGAAAATATAATTGAAATCGATGTTTTAACAATCGATACGGCCACATGAATGTAATAAATTGTATCAGCAATATACATGCAAAAAATTTAGATAATTCCATGAAATTTATGCATGTTATGTATGCTGTTTATAACATTTCTTTCTCTATACAGTTTGTATATATATATATGTATATATATATGTATACAAACACACATTTTATGTATCTCGATTAGTGTGTAATTTATTCCACGAGAAAGTTATAAACTTGCATAACATATAGTAAAACGATAAATAAATGTTTTTGTTTTGATTTTTTAAATTAAATCTTTTAATATTCACGCACAACATGCATATTTTTTATATTTTTCTTCATTATTTATTATAATACTGTTTTTCTCATTATTCTTTTTTTCATCAATTAATGTGGCTAAAAAAAATTCTAACGAATTAAAATTAGAAATTGTATGATGAAATTATGATAATGCATGCTCGAATAATTTCACAAGTTCTTAAAATTTAAATTTAAAATGTATAATATTCTGTAGCTATTTAACATACAAAACTGAAAAGTTGTAATCGAGAATGATTCACGTTGAGAATATTGGCGTCAACGTTGAGAATATTAGTAAATAATTAACCAACTTAACTGTTATCAAAAAAATGTACAACACAGAAGTCGCAAACTTTGTAAAAGTGTCCCACGAACGTGATCGGTCTACAAAACTGATTAGACGTAACGCTGGTTTACTTTTATTGCTTACTTGACCGTCAGAAGCGGTTGGACGTAGCGTCGGGCATGCGTGTCCATGATAGCCCCCCTCGCGCTCTGCCTGATAATGATGAGTATCAAAAGCGTGACGATACCAAGCATGACCGCCTCGCCGAGGAGGTACACGCGCACTAATTCACCTCCCAACCGACAATTCCACGTATCCTCGTAGTACTTTACGCAGGCGATCCCTATAAGAATCAACCTGTAAAACACACAGCCGATTACGAGAAAAACAAACTAGCAAACGATCGGCGCGATTTCTATCGGGCGACGCATATACCTGCGAAAGAATTTAATATTGAGAATAGGTTTCAATGCTTCTAATAAGTTTTCGACAATCTCGTTGAATTTAGTTAGAATTTGTGTCTTGAAGTTCTCGATTTCTCGTATAATAACTTTAAAACAAACAATTCGCATATTCAGATTGCTACATTCGCTAATTAATATTGCGCACTGTAATTTTAACATATTGATAATCGCGCTGACTGCTCTCTTATTACCGATACTCACCATACAATACGGATAAATAATTCGAACAGGCCAGGATACACGAGGTCGTCGGTTGCGGCCAACCATTTTCGACCGAAGAGCTTCAACGCAGGCATTTCCCTGGAAAAAGGAACTTTGCTGTAGCGCTATTAAAATTTTTCGATACGTTTCTTTCTTAGCCAAATGAATTAAAGTTGTTAAAAAGACACTCATTTATAAACATTTCGTCTAGGAAGTCGATATGATATGTCCCCATCTAGATCGTATCTGGATATACACCAACGATACCGAGATTGATCGCCGCGCGGTCACGTTCGCGAGGGTCTCGCGGCGCGGCGGCTCGCGGAGCACGCACCGCGGAAAGTTTATTTAGCGAAGCCCTCGCGCGCACGGATTTCGCAATATTACAAAATAAAGCGGACGCGGCTTTCTATGATCATAAATATCCCCGGGATTCGGACGATTACGGTACACGCGGGTATATCTCCGCGATCACGAAACCGCCGCCGTCCGGAGAAAGCGCGCCGGGAGAAAGTCCCCTGTGTCCATCCCACATCCGAGACCGTGTTGACACAGTCTTCCGACGTGTTTAAATGGACCGTTAGCCCGTGATTTTCGTTGCCTTACGTGTAATTTAGTTGACTTAGGCGCTAATAAGGACTGATTTTATATATCAGCGGCGACGTACAACTGCCGATCGGGGCAGCAATGAGCGACGTACGCGTTACTTGTTGACTGCATCTCGTTCAATTATTATATATTATATATTTTTTCGCTATACCCCATTATTGTTAATTGCTTGGCAATTTCCTGCGTGAGATAAAGAGAATAAAACCAGACGATCTCACAAGTATAATTAACACTCACTTACTTGTTTACATAAAATTACGAATTCTTCAGACGTGATTCTTTTAGATTTCTTTTTTTGGAAAAAGAAGGCTCAAATTCATAAAAATATTAAAATTCGTTTTGTATACATATTTTTGTTTGCCCTAATATATTTTTTAATTAATCGTCGCGTTTAAAATTTCCTGCACTGTCGCGGTTCTCTTAATTTCTTACGTTTAATTTTTTTTTGTTTTGATTCTTTTCGAGGCTTTTAGGTTTGCGCGCGAATTAGCGCTAACTAACGAATTGCGTAAATGGCTTTCGAACGTTTAATCACGGGAAAGCACGCAGTTTACGTCACAACACGTGTACTTTTTGAATGCGTCAATTAGTTGTAGATATATTATCCAACTACTTTCTTTAAGAAAAAAAACATGAGAATGCGGAAATTACAGTATATTATTATGGTATTAGGTGGAGAAGAGAAAATTGACATTATCATCGCGGTTATTTCGCCGATAATAATAACGCAGATCATGGATTAACTACTTATTCTTATACTTTATTGATGTCAAGTTGTTAATCGCTGTCAAATCTCAAGCGTTATCGCAGCTTCTCGACGCGAATACAATGTATGTACCATTCCAGTTCGAATAAACTGGAAGAAATGTTGTTGCAATATTTTCTACGTCGTTTCTGGGATTGGAACAAATAAGGGATTTCCTAGAAGATTACAAATCTACAAGAGGCCTACTAAGCGCAACCGCATGCAACTGAAATTGCACCGGCAGCAATTAACGCTTCCACGAAACTCACTTTATCTTGCATAATAGCGGTATATGAAGAAGGATTTTAAAAAACCTATTTTAAATTGCTCATAATTCGACTTACAAAAAAATTGTACCGTTTACAAGAAGCTGTATTGCTGTATACCCAAATATCCAGAGTTCAAAAAGCATTTATTCGTATATATTCAGTCATATGTCATCAATTTTAATTTGTTTTCAGATACAAAAAGAATTTTTTTTTGGAATTTTTAGAAAAAAAATTTTTTGCATTTGAAAATGAACTCAAAATTGATGACATATAACTGAGTTCTTTTTGAACTCTCTGGACATTTGCGAAGAAGTGTTACTGTAACGGTACTGACGGTTAGTTCTGATTCAATTTAGCAAGAGATCAAAGGAAATGGAAACGCGACACTCGAAACGCACATATGCTGTAGCTGTATGTACGCTTTGCTACTCGCAATATTGGTAGATTGAATTACGCGAAATGAAATGCATCGCGTGCATTCCATGACTCGAAACGTGCATGCGCTCTCCCGACGCGTCACCGCGAGTTTTGAACAAAACAATATGCGAATCGGGAACTCGCGTCTTTCAACACGTGTATTTAACCTGATTTAATACACTCCGCTTTGGAGTATTCCGCACAATGGCGAAAGTCAGTTGACATTTGATCCCTCGATAATGAGTTTCGATTGAACTTGACATCATAATTAGTGTTTTATGCGGTAAAAGGATGACTCATCGTCTGGGTATGAATAATTGATGAATTATTAGAAAAAAATTTCCGTTGTAATGATATATAACGCTGCATATTTCATACCTCGGTGTTAAAAACATATAGATACAATCTATGGTTATATAACGCGTGTATTTTTATAATTTAAAGTTAACATATTATTAATATGTTATTTATTACGATAATAATGTAAGATACATTTCGTATATTTGTAGACTGTAACGTTGTAGTCAGTAGTATATCATTCACAGTATAGTACAGTATCGATTTTAATTTACCCTTTTTCTTTATCTTCTGATTATCGTAAAGATAAATTCTAATTATCATACGGATAGCATAGCGATAAGTCTTATTATTTCGGTATTATTGCTTTCTCTACGCGTGCAAACGGCGTTCCTCATTAATTAAGCCAACAAGGCAACAAGACTCTTACAAAACGTTTAAGTAGCACGAATTACCGCTATAGCGAATCATGACATACGTATAGTTTACACGATGCTGTCTCACTAGCAAGCTTCAGCTTGTTCGTATTTAAGGAAATATGAACATATTAGAAAATTTTATATGAACGATCCAAATATTATTATATCTTTTAAATTTTAATTATCCCTCCTTTCCTTCTTCGATATGTTACTGCTGAATAATCACTCTTGACATAATCAGCAAATCTTTTGTGAAAGAGAATAGATCTCTTGTAACATTAAAACATCTCGTTTTGATTGATTGAATATTTTGATTTATGAATATTTTACGATGTGTGATTCGCTACACTCGCACACTCTGGCACTGCTAGCAGAAAAAAAGTACGATGTATAAACTTGTACTCACAGATGCGCGAATCGATATCCGGCGAATCCGGACGCGTGTTACACGCGCGTTGAAATCTCCTCTCGACCGACGCGCCGCGGACGCGGCACTCCACCGATCGTCCACCGCGCACTCCAGCTACTCGCTCTGCCGCCTCGGGAATTCAGCGCGGTCCTGAGAGTTGCAAACGAACCCGATTGAAATTTTTCGTCTAATCACCGTCAACCGAGCCTTTCTCCGAGTTGCGCGCGCTGTAGACCGCGCGGCGAAACTGGAGCGCGCGCTTCCTGCGCTCGCGCGGATTCCCGTTAAGCGCGCGAACGCTTCGCGGAGATAACTAATTTCGCGTCCGCCGCGCGCAATCTTCTCGGGGGACCGCGTACGTATTGCGAGTACTCGCAGTCACCGTTAGTGTCTCTCTCTCTCTCTCTCTCTCTCTCTGTTTCTCTCCTCTTCTTACTCTTCGTTGTTTGCAATCGCGAAACGGCGCGTGCCGTAATCACTTTGTCCGGCTAATCGTTTACAGCACGCGCCGGTTTTGGCACCGCTGTCAAAGCTGCGCTTATCACACGTACGGAGATATGCATATCGTTCGCGGCACGAACGTCTCTCGGCGACCGGTGCCAGCTGGTCCTTGGACATTCGCATAAACCACGATAATGACAACCGGTGGCGACCGCGATGGCCCTCTGACGCGGTCGAGAGGTATCTCAATCCAAAAGTGGCACTTCACAGCATTATGTCGGGGACGGCCATTCTCGCGATGATGCAGAATCGCGCTGCAACACAGGACGCTTTACACGATGCACCGCGGCGTGACTTGTTCACCTTGCAATGCGCGACACCCCGCACAGACAACCGAATCACACGAACTCGTTGACCACAACTGGTCCGGTACACTATTGCGGAGAGAGAGAGAGGAAGAAAGAGAGAGAGAAAGAGAGAGAGGGAGACCATGAAGAACTTTCCCTCCGTACGTCAGGTTATCGCGCGGCGTTCTGACCACGCGAGGAAGAAAAATGCTGCGAAAAAGGAGAAGAGGAAGGAACGGGCTACTTCGAGAGGGATAAACGCCGAGCCGAGTCGAGCCGAGTCGAGCTGATGGTGGGAGCGACGAATCGCCAGGCGACGCACCTGGCCTGACCGTTCCTCTCGAAGGAGATAGGGAACGCGGTGAATGCCGATATCCGGTGAATCTAGAGAGGAAGATTAGCCGGGGAGGGGGGCAAGTTCTTTGCGCAATGTTCTTATATTAACAAGAACGAAATTACGCACGTTACATATAAGGCGATGAATCTAAATCTCCCCTCCTCCCCCCCCCCCGTTAATATTAAGCCGCTTAAAATCTGGAGTCCAAATCTTTTGAACGCGCTTCAAATCTGTATCGTTCTCCATTATTTACGTTTACGATCTTTATTTCGTCATATTTTACATACACTTTGGAGAATGCGAATCTTTTGTCAAAGTTGTTCGTAAAAAATTTCTCAACGACCGAGTTATGTATAGTCGAAAGAGGGACTATTTCCCGTTATATTCTTGACCGCTTGAGTAACTCTCCTTGGTATCGACCTATCTCAAATGGACTTTACATAAGATGGAAACCAATGTTATAACCGCATTACTATACCACATTTGAGCTGAAAGATATTGACTGCACGCATATGTATATACACATTACAATGCATACGCTGCATGCATTGAATATGCATCAATTCCATCATGATCATATACATGTATAATTACGAATGGCTCGCAAGTTTTCGTGCTTTACGAAGCGTGTTAGATTCGTCAAATAAATCTCGCAGCGATTTATTCAGGTATTCATAACAGTATTCTTAACACGTGCTGCGTGGAAAATATGCAAGAATATTAATGTCTCATAATTGAATTAAGTAGAAAAATCGATCCATGATTATAACAAAATATATACAACCTGTAAAAAACAAAGATTGGAGGATGCAAACGATCTTCTTTTTTTTTCTCTTTCGCAAGAAGCAGCGAAAAAAATATATGACATATGCAAAAATGTAAAATCCGTCATAAATTTTTCGCCTTTATAACTGATTGTGATGCATTTATGCAAGCATTACTGCGAACAAGCGATTGAAAATAATTGTCCACGTTCGCAAAAACGATCACCTCATAAGACTCGAACAATTGAAGCTCCTTATATTATAGTATGTTACCACAAGACGACGTATTGAATCTAGCGCACACAAGCAAATTCCTCTGAGTTTCTTTTTCAAAAATTATTCCTTCATGTACATTCAACTAAAAAAAAAAGAAACATTTGCTTTTTTAAACACGTTGCGACTAAATAACTGCTCGCATAGATACACATCAATGTGTTTCATCAATTCGACGCGACAAAATAACAGCGAGATAAATTGCTCATGAATAAGTAGCAGGATTTGTACCATGGTCGGTCTTTGAAATCGGCAGAATTTCAGATCGCGAACGACGTAAAAATAAGTGTGATGCAAAATCCCAAAGAGCTAATTGAGACGTAATGTATGCTTTAATAAATGGCGACGTGTCGCAAGGATAAACATTTGAAGAATGAATAACTGTTTGAATATACGCCATTTTGATTTTCACATATACGACAGAAATCGTCTCGGGTCGGAAACGTGTTTGACTGGAACAGAATAACATGCATTGCAAAAAACAAAGCTACATACTCCTCTCTTCTTTTTTCGAGAAATGAACGTATCCGTTCACCAAAGGCTCGCACAGTTGAGCGCCTTCCTTTTGCATTTGCACATCCGGCTCGGAATGCGATTTCTTTCTTCCTTTTGGACCGCGCGGTGACCGCCGCGCGCGAGTTCGTGGAACGAACACTGTAATTGACGTTGCTCTCAGAAAAGTCGCAATACTATCTTTCCAAGACGACGCGCTGACATTGCGGAACGCGTCACAGCAATAGTAATTAAATTAGCTTATCAAATGGGAGAAGTGGTTTTGCAACGTGTAATTCACAAATCGCTTTAAGAACTTAATGCGTGGCGAAAAAAAGCAAGTTTTATATAATTGATTTAACTTGCAAATCAATATGTATCTTTGTGTAGCTTTTTTGCCTTTGCCCAGAGACTCCTATCAGCGATTTACCGCGTACTTGCATGCGTACCGTATATGCATATGTTGACTTTATGCATCTTTGTTTGTATCTTATATTAAACTTCAATGTGAAGAATTGCGGAAATATCTACACATACACGAGCGCGCGCGCGCGCTATTCAATTATCAAATTAAGAAGTTGCACGCGAGGGAAATAACAATTTTTATATTAAATATTCTCACGTAATTTCGAAAGAAACAATATATATGAATACCTTGGGAATCATTGTGTGACATAAAAACGTTATTCCTTGCGTGCAACCATTTTTTAAAGATACACACACACATCTACCACTCACCCATCCACATACATACACATCTGCTATATATGTATATTTTTATACCAGTCCGTTTTGCTAGTGCGATACATCTTTATTGTGACTACAAAACAACTTGAATAGATACACTTTTTATCCCCTTGCATGAGTAATTAACATCTAAAAAAAAGGCATGCAATGCAAATAAGTGAGTCAATAAATGGATATAGCTAATTAACGATATTTCTTTGTAGAATTATGTTAATTTACATAGCCTGTTTATAATAAAATCAGGCATTTGTTAATTGGCCTGTTTATATAAAATCTATACTGTAAACACTTTTATGCATCTTAAAAATTATATTTTAATTTAATATTAGATTGTGGAATAATATTATAAATTTTTTAAATTCTTTACACAATTATGTGCAAAAAAAATTTGAAAATCGCTAACATTTTGAACACAAAATTGAAGTATATCTTTTCAAAGGAATCACTTTTTTGTCATGTATAATACTTAATTATTATCAATAAGCTATTTATTTTAGCATTTTGTAAATCTGAAACAGAATGGATAATTGTGCAAAAATCTAATATATTATAGCGATTTGATTATAATTAATTCATTTTCAATCCTACATTATGCTACATATTATAGCTTGACCACTTACAATTAGCTCTTTAATTATTTTAACTACACAATTTTCTGGTTTCCTCTTTTGACATCAATGTAAACTTTATTAGAATATACGTGCTAATAATTTAAAAATTCACTATTTAATAAGAAAAATCTTTATATAACTAATAATTTTCAGCCATTAACAAACAAAGCTTTAAATTTTACAAACAAAAACGTGAAACTTAAAAGTTTCAAGGGACCGGCAGCGTAATACAGTTGTCGGAATGTACAGTAATGGAACGTGTAGTGGCACGACAGGTTCGCCTCGCCCCGGTCGCATTGTAACAATCATGCGAGGGCAGCGAGCCCGTTTGTCGAACGAGCGAACGTAAACCGATCGGACGAGCAATTCGACTTGTTTCGATATACACTCCGCAGGAACGACGACGTAGACTTTCACTTGCGCGACGAGCCTTCTCGATCTTTGCGCCGCGTACCTACGTATACGCGCGTGTAAAATGTGCATAAACGCGTAATTGCAGCTGCCGCGCGGCCGATTGCGCAGCATCAGCAAATTTGTACAATAAATAATTAGCTGACCGCAAAATCGCGATTTATTTGATCGCGAAATCGCGAATGAAAAGTAATTGCAGAATACTGGTCATGTCAAACGTTAACATCGACAACGTGTGGAACTGATTTATTTACTGAATAGTACAATAATACAATATTGAATTTGAATGGTTTTTAAATCATTTCCAACTTGTTCTTTCGCGAGTCTAATAGTATTTTTTCTTAAGGAACTTCTTTTGAAATTCTCATCAGGAGACATGGTCGTGTTTCGGCGCTAAAGAATACGTGTAAGACTGGCGTCCAGTTATTGTAATTATGATTTATATATATGATAGTATTCCAGTATATATTTCCAAAAATATTTTTGAACACATATATTTCAAGATGATATATTTCAAGAGAATGAAAGATTTCATCACAAATAACAATAAAAACTAACAGAATTTAATTTAAATAAAAAAATTTTATAAAAACAGTTGACGCTATAGAAAAAAGCACTATTTCAAAATATAACGTAGTAAAAACATGAATAATAATTTAGATCTTAAAAGAAAAATGGTCGCATTCGACGTAAAATTGGATACATAAATATATCGATTTTTTTGCAAGCATATAATTTTGAATTGTTTAATTTTAATGAGAATAAAAGAATTTATTTATTTTTAACGGTGATCGCTTACTTAAACTCTCAATTGCCCTTTTTATGTTATTTAACTTTTTGCTCGGTTAAGTGCTACATCGCTCGCAGTCGCGGAAATAGTATATGCAAATAGCGTCAATTCGAAGAAACTTTTTCATATAATCTCGTATGTATTATTTGACTTATTTATGTATTATATTTATGTATCATATATACATATATATTCTTTTTCAAAATTATTGATTTTTGGTTTTATGTTAATTCGGCTAGATTCAAAGGAGTGATACGGATGTGATGGATTGATCGGTTGATTTAAGTTTTTAGTTCGGTTACAGTTTAATTTTGAGTTTATTTGACTATATTACAAAAATACAGCACTAGTATAAGTACGATCGAACGCGTCGATATCCATCAACCGAATTTGTACATTTTATCCTATGACTATATTTTATCGGTCGCCAGATAGCTAGCCGCTGTTCGACGGTCTGTCTCCTCGACAGCTTACTTTGTCTTATCGTTATTTACGTGAAGATAAATTAAATTTCTAGCAATGTTACTCTTTCTTCTTCTGCTCTTACAGTTTCCAATGGTTGTTTCAGATTTGGATTTAGGTATATTATAATTCGGCGCGTACAGTGTATTATGTTTACGTATTAATAATTTGTTCGTCGTGGCTAGCTTATAAACAA